ATTTCCTGTGTAGACAGTTCAGCTACTTACCCGGTAAGCTTGGCTTTCGGTTTTTATGTTTATAGGAGAAGGGTTTTCCCCAGCCTCCTCAGCTTCATACTGGTGGTGTTTGGTGCCTGTACCAACACCTGTACTTCTGTTCAGTAAGTAGTTATTAGAAAGTGGGGGGAAAAACCACCCTGTAGATTAATGACATATTTATGTTTCAAAGGGACCCCTTTAAACAAAGATGTAGTGTTACGCAAGCCAGCTGGAAAACGCCTTAGTCATGTTTAATGTATCCACATAAGAGTTGATTTCTGACCTAGAAATGGAGTTTAGCAAACTCTTCAGTTGTCTTTTGCTCTATTAAGTATTAAATAGAAAAAATTTTTCAAACAGGAGATATTTTTAAAATTTGGGAGTAAGAATATATTAATTAAGAAGTGAGTCAGCAGAGAACTATAATATATATTTTAAAACAGAGAGATTTTAAAAAATGGTTGAGGCTGAGCCGTGAAAGTGAAGTAATTTTCTCCTACATCATCCCCTTCAGCCAGCACCTCATTTGGTTCAATGGGTTTTTTTGGATCTTTTCTTTTATGAGTAGGAGGTGGTGTTAGGTCTTGGAAAGGCTGCTTCAGTGAAATAAAACTAGTCCTCATGCTCAGGAAGGTCACAGTGTATCCAAATCTGTCTGGCGCCAAATGATGCTTCCCAGTCATGGGGATGCTGGCAACCTTTCAGCCGGGGTCTCTGGGACCAGCACCTCCATAGAATTCATTTATTTCTCCATCCAACAAAATGCCAGGCTGGGAAGCAGAGTGAACAGACACGTCCCTGCCTGCAAAGAATCCATTAAAATAGCAGCTAAGGGAACACACAGCCTGCCTCAGGAACTTGAGGGCCAGAGATCTTAACTTTACTGAGGGGCCAGCAAGTTCTTCCCAGAGGAGGAAACACCTGAAATGAGATCTGTAGGAAAAGAAGGTGTAATCAAGCAGATTAGGACAGTGAACTTAACTGCAGGGAAAGCAGAAATATGAGATGTTCAGGGAAAGGAAAGAGTTTGATGTGACTGGACCAGGGTTTATATGGGAGTGGGTGATGGGATGTGAGGCTAGAAAGGACGGTCACATACCAGGGACTTTGGATGTCTTGCTAAGACATAAGGATTTGTATTTTGTAAATCAAAGTCAAGGGCTTGATAAAATTGATAGAAACTTAGGGCTGAGAGTCAAATGGATTTGGGTTTGAATCCCAGCTCTTCTGCTTTTGTGATCTTGGGAGATGACTCAGGAGAGCGCTCGCCTCTGTCTGAGGGAGTGAGGGAGGCAGGATGGCAAAGGGGGAAGCCAAGCCTAA